GCCAGTATGTGAAAAACCTCTTCAGTCTCCAGTTTTTAAGTTAACATTTAGATAAAGTACATTGGAATCTAATTTGACTATCATATTTATATATATTTTCAAGCTTACTCAATTTCAATGTTTAATATTCTGATTCAAAATGTGTTTTTTAGGAGAATTGATAGATTGAGCCTGTAGAACCCAATTATTTAATCAGGTTTACTTCCTGTTGGGAACAAAGCAAACATTTAATAAACTGAGCTTCCTTACTTGTAGTCATACTTTGACCGTAACAATCAATCAATGTTTATTTATATAGCCCAATATCACAAATGTTACATTTGTCTCAGTGGTCTTCACAGTGTGTACAGAATATCAGTATGACAATACGACACCCTCTGTCCTTAGAACCTCTGTCCTTAGACCCTCTGTCCTCAGACCCTCACATCGTACAAGGAAAAACTTCCGGAGAAAACCCACAGTTTAAAGGGAACATGGGAGAAACCTCAGGGAGAGCAACAGAGGAGGGATCCCTCTCCCAGGACGGACAGACGTGCAATAGATGCCGTGTGTAAATTGAAAAGATAATACATTTGCAACATAGGTAGTCCAAATGTTTGGAAATGCATGTGTCTGTAATAGGAAGATGAATCCACGAGGATATCCATCCAGGACCTATGATCCAGGACCACAGCCACGACTCAAGATCCAGGACTCGCGATCCAGGACAGAGGAGCGCAGGATCATCCATGACTCCGGATCCCGGCGTATATAGACACCAAAAAGAAAGACATTTGGGGAAGCTGGGTTAATCGGAACATGAGAGTACACAGGTATAGACAGAGAGAAGGAAGAAGTAAGATGTCCCCCGACAAACTAAGCCTATATCAGCAAAACTAGGGGCTGAATCTAATCAGCCCTAACTATAAGCTTTATCAAAAAGGAAGGTCTTAAGCGCACTCTTAAAAACGGATAGGGTGTCTGCCGCCCGAACACAAACTGGAAGCTGATTCCACAAATGTGGAGCTTGATAAGAAAAGGCTCTGGCTCCCATTGTACTTTTAGAGACTCTAGGAACAACCAACAACCCTGCATTCTTGGAACGCAATGCCCTAGTAGGACAGTAGGGTATAATGAGTTCTTTAAGGTAAGATGGCGCCTGCCCATTAAGGGCTTTGTAGGCGAGAAGAAGAATTTTAAATGATATCCTGTGTTCTATAGGGAGCCAGTGTAAGGCAGCCAGAACAGGAGTAATGTGGTCCCTTTTCCTAACTCTGGTTAGTACACGAGCTGCAGCATTTTGAATCAGCTGAAGCGACTTGACTGACTTCTTGGTACACCCTGATAATAAAGAGTTACAATAATCCAGCCTTGAAGTAACAAATGCATGGACTAGTGTCTCTGCATCGTTTTGAGGCAAGATATGCCTGATTTTTGCAATGTTACGTAAATGGAAGTAGGCGGTCCTTGAAATTGATTTTATGTGGGCGTTAAAGGATAAATCCTGATCAAATATAACACCAAGATTCCTTACAGTCTCACCGGAGGCCAAATTAATGCCATCCATAGTTAGTATATCTTTAGATAATTTGTTTCGTAGATTCTTCGGGCCAAGTACAATAACTTCAGTTTTGGTCGTGTTTAACATCAAAAAGTTTAAGGTCATCCACGTTTTTAAGTCCTTGAGGCAGTCTTGAATTTTATTTAGATGATTAATTTCATCAGGCTTGATTGATAAATATAGTTGAGTAACATCCGCATAACAATGAAAATGTACAGAATGATTCCTTATAATATTGCCTAACGGAAGCATATATAATGTGAACAAAATAGGTCCGAGCACTGAGCCCTGTGGCACTCCATGGCTAACTTTGGTTTGCGTGGAAGATTCATCATTGACACGTACAAACTGAGAGCGTTCAGATAGATAGGACCTAAACCAGTCTAAAGCAGTTCCCTGTATGCCAACTAAGTGCTCTAGTCTTTGCAATAAGATATCATGGTCGATAGTATCAAATGCAGCACTGAGATCGAGCAAAACAAGAATAGAGACACGTCCCTTGTCAGAGGCTATTAGAATGTAATTTGTGACTTTAACCAGAGCTGTCTCTGTGCTATGATGTGTTCTAAAGCCAGACTGAAAATCTTAAATAAATCATTGTTTTTTAAGTAATCACACAACTGTTTTGCGACCGCTTTCTCAAGAATTTTTGAGAGGAACGGAAGATTGGAAATAGGTCTATAGTTGGCTAAAACCTCTGGATCGAGGTTGTGCTTTTTAAGAAGCGGTTTTATCACTGCTACTTTGAATGATTGTGGAACATAGCCTGATAATAAATACATATTCATAATATTTAATAAATAAGTGCTAATTAATGGAAAAACTTCCTTCAACAGCTTAGTTGGAATTGGGTCTAACATGCACGTTGATGGTTTAGAAGAGAGAATCATTGAATTTAATTGTTCAAGGTTTATGGCTGAAAAGCATTCTAGTTTACTATCTAGTGTAATATTAGAACTTACGTTTCTGGGAGCTGTTGATAACACTATACTGGTCAAAGGCAAGAGGTCATTAATTTTGTTTCTAAGAGTAACAATTTTATCGTTAAAAAAGCACATAAAATCATTACTACTGAGTGCTATGGGAATAGAAGGCTCAATCGAGCTGTGGCTCTCTGTCAGCCTGGCTACAGTGCTGAAAAGAAATCTTGCATTATTCTTATTCTCATCTATTAATGAAGAGTAGTAGGCTGCTCTCGCTTTACGCAGTGCTTTCTTATATTCATTGAGAGCAATATGCCAAATTAAACGAGATTCTTCAAGTTTAGTGGAACGCCATATCTTTTCAAGTTGTCTCGACTTTTGCTTTATTTTGCGGGTTTCGGCATTATGCCATGGAGCTAGTCTATGTTGTTTTATTTTCTTCTTTTTCAAAGGAGCAACAGAGTCTAATTTTATTCGCAGCGCATCTGTAGCGCTATCAACAACATGATCAATTTGGGGTGGTGTACATTTTGTATAAGTTTCCTCCCTTACATGCAGACATGCTATCGAGTTAAGTATTGGTGGAATCTCTTCCTTAAATTTGGCTATAGCACTAACAGATAGGTTTCTGCTGCAGGAGCTTTTGACTAATGCTTTGTAGTCTCGTAACAGTACTTCAAAAGTTACTAAGAAATGGTCGGATAAAGCAGGATTATGCGGTTCGACTAATAGTTGCTCAATTTCAATACCATAAGTCAGAACAAGGTCGAGAGTGTGATTATAGCAGTGGGTTGGTTTATTTACACTCTGACAGAAACCAACAGAATCTAATATAGAGTTAAATGCAACAGTAAGGCTATTTTTATCAACATGAATATTAAAGTCACCTACGATAATTACTTTATCTGTTTTAAGAACCAAAGTTGATAAAAACTCAGAGAATTCAGATAAAAATTCTGAATAAGGACCTGGTGCACGGTACACTGTAACAAATAAGATTGGCTGCAAAGTTTTCCAGGTCGGATGCGTAAGACTAAAAACGAGACTTTCAAAGGAGGTATAATTTAATTTTGGTTTAGTATTGATAAGTAAACTTGAGTCAAAGATTGCTGCAACTCCACCTCCTCGGCCCGTGCCTCGGGCAATATGAGTGTTGATATGGCTGGGTGGAGTTAACAACAGTAACAAATAAGAGTTCATATAAATTCCCATATCCACACTGTAGCTACTGCATATGATATAAAGCCCATTGAACATTTTACATGTTTTGACAGAATGGAGGCAAAGATATCGTGGAACTATGCTGAGTGTGGTGAAGCTCCACGTCCTCCATGTGCAGCAAAAGAAGACGCCACACCTCCCAACGCGTCCATCTCCATCGAGGGATCGGAGGGGCTTGATGAGTGTAAATGTTTGGTGAACATTGCCTTCTGCTCACGGACATCATCCATGCAATAAACTTAAGTAACAAATCAAAGTTGAAATACGCTTCTGTCGTTTTCAAAAATCTTTCTTAAACTTAATTTCCTCAACATTTCTCTTGAAAGTCGTGGAATATTGAGGTACTTGAGAATTTTCTTTTCGTTGCACTTTATACTCCACTACAAATCAAAGGGAAATATTGTACTTTGTGCTTCACTATCTTATATAGAGCTTATAAGGTTCTGTTTTTTAACTTACCATTTTTAAATATTGTTAGAAATCCTTGAGCTATTAGGTTTTTGTTTGTTAATATCGGATTTTGTACTACTTTTTACGTGTAATGCTCAAACAGCATTTAGCTAATTATACCTTTTCATTACCAGACTTTCACTTGTAATAGAGTATTCTTACAGTGTGGTATGAATATTTGCTAAACTGATTGTTGTTTTGAAGTCTTGTATTACTGTGTGATCTTGTTTTTAATGATGCTCTGTAAGGTGTCCTTGAGAGCTTTGAAAGGCGCCCATAAATAAAATACATTATTATTATTATATCAATGTGTTTCTGTGCCTGCTTTGTTTAATTTAACGGATGTATGTGCAGTATTTGTTCAAATAATTGTAAACTGTAGATTAGTCATGGCTTGTATCAGACAACAGAACGAAAATAGACGTGTTGTTTAAAAGTTGTTTCATGTTTTGTAGTAGCCTTAGTGTATAACAGTTTTATTGAATACGAATTGCATTTGATGTTATTTGATAATTATATTTAAATATTACCTACATATTTATTAAATAAAAGATACAAATAGCAAGTAAAACAACCTGTAAATCCAAATATGTTTGAGATTTGTAATAAGATGCAAATGTAATCTTAAGTCAAATCTACTATACAATAGTAAATCAAATGTACTCACAAAAACAGTAAAGTGTGACAGTAAAGTTTACTTAAGTGCCTTTAGTAACAAACACTTCTTAAATGTAAGTAGAAGCTACTTGAAATATACGTTGTTAAATTGACTATGAGGACACACTGAATCCATGATAATCACTGAGTCTAAAGCAATGGGAAGAGAGTGGAGCACAAAAGGGTTATTAGATCAGGAAATAACAACGTCAGGTCCGAATGGCTTTATTCAAGTATCACAACAATACAGGATTAATATCTAGAATAAAGGTTTGTTTGTTTTATCCTCAGAGTAATCATCTTTCAGGCATGACGTTACACACTCTGGACAGTAGGTGGCGGCATTCACCTTAAACTGTTTCCTAATGATAACTTCAGAAATGTCTTACAATCACTGACCATCGAAACATAGATATGGACACTTCATTTGTAATTTTTCATAGAGTTAAAGGTTAAAAAATAAAGCAATTGGCAAGTAATTTTGTTTATGCAAATGAGATGCTCATAAACGTACAAATAAAGCGTGGGAACTGGGTTTCTTGGATCCAGAAGAAGTTCCTGACGTTTACCCAATACCACTATTCTATAACTATAATACAGCAAACGATCAAAACACACAAGAGCGATTACAAAAATAAATGTTTTGCAACTCAAGTTCCATTCTCCTCAGTACAAAAAGCTGAAAGTAATAAAGCAGTTTTCCTGAACCACATGTCAGGAGAAGATATAATATGAAAGGTAAAGTAAGGCCTCCAGTTAAAGGTCAGAGGTCACGAGAGGAGCGTTCTCTAGTAGCTCTTCATGGCCATGGACGATCCTCCGCTGTCGTGCTTTCTGATCTGATGGATCATCAGGACGCTCATCAGCAGGGCCAGCAGCTGGAAAAAACACAGGAAGACGGTTAAAAAACAGACCAATCAGAAGACACTATTGCGGAAGAGAAAAATAAAAAGGTAAGCAAATTTCAAATCCACTTATTTTTGCCCCATGAAGCGTTTTACCTCGTAACTAACTTGCTCCGAATTAATAACAACACATTCTACATTTACTTCGGTTATGTTGAGGTCCAACTGCAACATTAACATTGCTGTTAAATCAAAAACAGTGCAAAATAAGACCCAATTTTAATTTTTTTTTTTTTTTTACCAGTATAGCTCATCAGTATTCGAGTAAGAAGTCTTGTGTTGAACAAACCCAAACCAATAATCTTTGTATTCAAGGTTTGGTTGTTCTTTCTAATCTCTTTCAATCAATAAACAATCATTATGGTATAACATTAGATTATCTGTCATTGATGGACAGTCACCAGAGAAGTTAGCCAAGATTTTCCTCAAAACACAACGACTTCTTAAGACCTCAAAATGTTACGTTTAGAACTTCGACCGAAGACTAGGAGAGAAATAACGTTGTGCTGGGGAAAATATAAGTTGTCTTCTTCTACTATGGGTTTTCTGATGGGCAGTGATGGGTGTGACCCTGCAGCTGAGAAGGCAGGGCATCATTCATGTTGTTGATACCAACGAGAGCACACATACGTTGTCTCCTCTCCTCTTTGAGGGGCAAAGAGCAACATTGCTTTTCCAGAGACGTCCCGACGCCTTCCTGACACCTGATGACGCCAAACCGATTTACGACTCTGTTCGGTACCTCCTGACTTTAGACTATATAAGCTTGATGTTACTTCCTGCTCCTTTGAGCAGCATACCTCATGTGTGTAAGTTGAACCATATCCTTTGTATGTGACTTAACTCTGCTCCTTCTTGCAAGAATAAATTAGTACCTGACTATTGATTCTCAACCCGGTGTCGAGTGATATTTTCCTTACACTTTGCTAGTGCATTTTTTAGGTCCAATGAATTAGTTAGACCTTAAATGAAATGGAATAGCAAAGCAATGTGTCGAAGTCAACCCGAGCTGTTACGGTTGGGGGCGAAACGCTGCTGAATGGAGCCGAATCCATCAACACGGACAAAAAAGAAGAATAAATAAGAAACTTACTGCGAGGATTGCAAACGTGAAGCAGAAGCCCATAAAGATCTTGAAGAAGATATCGAAAAACCCAAAGATAACACCGCTGCAGCTCTGCAGGAGAAAAAGATGGAGAAAGGGTCATTATCTGGAAACGTCACAGGAAGGAGAACTGGATGGTGTCTTGGTTAATTGATTGAATACCGTCGCGTAGATCTGGTCTGGGCCGAAGGCTCCCTGCAAGAAAAACAAAGGTACAGAAAGTCATAAACAAGTGTTCAAAAACAGCTATACCTGCATTTAAACAGAAGTGAACCACACATCGTCAAGAGGTCATTTAAGGCATCCCACTCCCTTAATAAACCTTTACTGTATTAACTAAACCTGTAAATACATGAACACCCTAGGTAATGCAACAGTTCATCTTTAAGAGTATATGTTATGTTCTGATCCTGTGATGATAACTCCTTCTTGCTTTACTCAGACAACTTTGACTTTCTAAGCAATACTGAGAATTGTAGTTCAATGTGGTTTTACCCTCGTAAAAATCACTGTTTAGAGTTTTGAAGACACTCAAACACAAAACTGCCATAGTATTTTAGGGATATAGGATTCAGTATCTTAATCTATTCATTGTGTGGACAGAAGAAGCTCGAAAGGCACCACCAACCTTACAACTCATAGACCATCCATACCATCATTACCTAAAATCAAACACAGCTTCCACACTAAATTGGTCCATTTTGTGTGGAAAAAGTGGCTTTCATTTTTACACAAGAAGTCATTTTTACTTTGAAAGGGGGCTGACTGATTACTTATACATTTATAAACCTGGTCTTTCAGTTTCAACAAAACCTACCACAGGTTTGGCTTTACATCCAGATGAAAAGGGGAATCCTGTATTTTGCATCTTGCACTCACAGGACCGAGGGATGTTGTTTCCCCAGTCGCTGGAGCTGACCACACCACAGCATTGGGCCTGAAAACATACGAGACACAAGGTTACACAAGGTGGGAATTTAGCCTGGGAACTATCCATTTCCAATGCTTCTAATGGGTTAAGATAAGAAGTACTTTACTGATCCTAATTTGGGATTTGTTTGCATTGCAGCAGCATAAAAAGACAAGGCCGTGTACATTAGAGGAATTAAAAGACTAGAAAAAAACAATCCAAAATGTAAACATCTCAAATAGAAATTGAACAGCATTAAAAAGTAGAAAATATACATGTTGAAATACATTGCCCCCCCTAGTGGCTGACATATGTTACAGCATTACTACGTCTAAAACTGTTCCAATACAAATATTTCGCATATCAATATTTTAATAGATGTAATAAAATGATTGTTACAATACAAATCTGAATAATATCATGTTTTGTTTGAAATAATTTCATTTTTGAGCAGTCGCATGTGAGGTTAAGGACACAAGTTACCTCGCTTTTTTTTGCATACAAGTGATTCAGCTACTGTATTACAAGAATTAGCAGTAATGGATATTCCAGCCGCTCAAAATTCACCCTCTCCTTCTTGGAGCAGAGATGGACCTTGTTAAAGCCTCTGCTGTAGATTCTGCACTTGAGCATCTTTGAAGGAAAAAAAGAAAAAGCTATCCAAATCTATACAAGATGCTTCAGTTGGCACAGACTCTGCCTATCGGATCTGCCACCTCTGAGAGAAGTTTTTCTGCAATGAGGAGAATTCGGAACTGGCTCGGCTGCGGTCAACGAATGGAAGGAACAAGGTTTTCCTCATTTGCGGTTCTTCACATTGAGGATGACATAACCGCACAGCTGTCACCTGAGGGGATAGTGGACATATATGCGGAAAGTACAAAAAGGCGTCTACTTCTGCACTAAGGTAGGACACTGGTTAATAATATTGTAGCGTGTTCAAGTAACCAAGGGATATAGTTATCAAATAAGTACAAGATGTGCACAGTTATGATACGTTTTACAGTTAAGTAATGCACTGTTGTTGGGGGGAGAGACCGCCCCTTCCATGAGTGTGTGTGTCCAGTGGGCATGAGGCGTGCATGACGGGACAAGTTGTGTTCGTATGTGGAAAAGTCATACTCAAGTGCGGTGAATGCTGGCTTTATTGCTACTGTATCCGTAGCAAGTGTGTAAGGAATGGAATATTAAATATGAAATCGAACATAAATGTAAAATGTACAGTGTGAGTTTTTATCACATATTAATGTAACTGTAATGTAATCATTAATGTACAACCCTTATATAAAATAAATAAAAACGGTTTACTTCCTCTTACGTACATTGGAAAGCATTCATCCTAGAAGAACCATGTTTGGGTTAGTTAGCTAGACTACATTTGAAAGAGTTTAAAAGTGCATTTACAGATTGTTCGAATGCCATTAGCATATTTCTCATTGCTTCGTCTTCCATGAAAGGCTTTGCCGCTTCAGCGGAGTCCAAAGAATCCCTCAGCTATAAAAAAAGAAACAACAACATTAGCATCAAGACCGAGAGAGAAGGTTTTAAGAATGTTAAGAAAGTAAATAAACTTAAAACTTAAACTAGCATCAAGTTCGAGAAAACACCATTTAAAGAAAAGTGTAGTTTTGTAACATCTTCTAGCAGAAAAGCTTAAATATACAATTCTTAATGATGTTTTCATTGGTTTTATAATCACTTAAAACTTAAAGGTAACTAGACGGAGTGTTAGCATCAAGATAGCTAGAGATAGCGTTAGCATAAAGGTAACTCGACGGAGTGTTAGCATCACGGTAGCTAGAGATAGCGTTAGCATAAAGGTAACTCGACGGAGTGTTAGCATCAAGATAGCTAGAGATAGCGTTAGCATAAAGGTAACTCGACGGAGTGTTAGCATCACGGTAGCTAGAGATAGCGTTAGCATAAAGGTAACTAGACGGAGTGTTAGCATCACGGTAGCTAGACTGAGTGTTAGCATCAAGGTATCTAGACAGAGTGTTAGCATAAAGGTAGAATGAGAGAATGTTAGCATCATCATCGATAGAGATGTTAGCATTAGGGTAAATAGAGAGACTGTAGCATCAAGGTAGATAGAGAGAATGTTAGCGTGAAGGTAGCTGGACAGAGTGTTGGCATAAAGGTAGCGAGACGGAGTGTTAGCATCAAGGTAGCTGGACAGAGTGTTAGAATAAAGGTAGCTAGACGGAGTGTTAGCATGAAGGTAGCTGGACAGAGTGTTAGCATAAAGGTAGCTAGACGGGGTGGTAGCGTCAATGTAGCTGGACAAAGTGTTAGCATCAAGGTAGAACGAGATGTTAGTGTAACAGAGTTATAAATGTTGGTGTAAAATCCGGGTTAAATTGGAGAATTACGACATCTGGTGTTACAAACGCGTGCTTGCATTGCTGTAGTTTTGTTACCGCAATGGATTGTGGGAGGTTCTCATACCGCGTGAGGATCTGTTGAGAGTAAAGTGCTATTGTATTATGTATGTGGACAAAATGTATGTTATTATTTTATTAGGACAATAACGTTCTGTTGTGTTTGTTTAGTTTAATGTTAGTCGTTTAATGCTCACAGCAACATGTTTTTTGTGTGATTCGCTATTTGTGTTACGATTTCGTCAATAGCTAATTTGAGCTAATAGGCTAACGTGAGCGTGGTGCTATCTCTCCAACAGAACGCAGCTCACGTGTCCATTGTATGTGTCCATTGCAATGCAGGTATGTGAGTTTTTTACACCAGTTTGTTTATGTTTAATGTTACACATTGTTTATACTACCACTATACGATCATTGTTGTGTTGTTGATTATTGGACACTTATTTTGTACCAGCTCTGAGTGGTCTGTTGCTGAGGGGACACTACACCGGGGTTACATTAGCATCATCATAAATAGAGATGTTAGCCTCATAATAGAGATGTTAGCATTAGGGTAAATAGAGAGAATGTTAGCATCAAGGAAGAGAGAGATAATGTTAGTATGGAGTCAGATTTGGGTCAATATTCTAGCGTGTAAAACAAGCTACTCACGAGCAGAAAATGTGCTTTTACACGCGCATAAAATGACTCTCGCGCACAGATTAAACCCCGCGAGCGGTTATGCGCTCGCTCGCGAGAGACACTGCCCTCTTGCTCCCTCACGGGAATGTCAGCCTCACCTGCTCGCGGAGTCTGTCTGCGCGCGTGAAAAGTTTCTGACACTTTGGGGCGGAGCCACTGGACTTTGATTGACAGCTGCAAGGAAGCCCGGAGTTGCCAGGTTTGATAAATGCCTGAACTACCAAGAGCCGAGGAGTGAGAGCTGCAAGATCAGTTGGACGAGATTGAATGGTAAAGTTGTTCATAAAAAACTATTATATTCGTAAAGTGTACAGCTAATATATATATATATATATATATATATATATATATATATCAATTCATTTCATATACAAAAATGACATTAATTCTAGGAGTGCAATACTTTTACAAACACTATAGTAATAATGTGCATTCATTATGACAATATCATACTATTACTATAGGAGTGTTCTATAGTGTGTTCAAAAAAGAACTACAGAAACACTATATATTATACTATAGTTATACTATTTAAAATAATATAGGAATACTACAAAGATCTAGATACAGAGTATTACTATTGAAATATTATAGGGCTACTATAGCTAATAAAATGGCACTACAGAATAAACTATAGTAATACAATAGCTGGTGAAAAATACTACAGAACACTACAAACTTACTATAGGACACTATACAACTCTTACAGTATACTATAGTTCATTTCGTAAGGGAGGTGCATACAGCAGACAGTATAGCTAGCAGTTTTCGACAGATACAGCCCACTCAAAAATATATTGTTTTATATAACATTAATTAATATATATATATATATTAGCTGTACACTTTACGAATATAATAGTTTTTTATGAACAACTTTACCAATCAATTTCGTCCAACTGATCTTGCAGCTCTCACTCCTCGGCTCTTGGTAGTTCAGGCATTTATCAAACCTGGCAACTCCGGGCTTCCTTGCAGTTGTCAATCAAAGTCCAGTGGCTCCGCCCCAAAGTGCCAGAAACTTTTCGCACACGCAGACAGACTCAGCGAGCGAGTGAGGCTGACACTCCCGCGAGGGAGCAAGAGGGCTCTCTGGCGAGCGAGCGCATAGCCGCTCGCGGGGGTTTAATCTGCGCGCAAGGGTCATTTCATGCGCGTGTAAAAGTACATTTCCCGCTCGTGAGTAGCTTGTTTTGCGCGCTAGAATATTGACCCAAATCTGACTCAAGGGTATATATGTATATAAAGAGAACGTTAGCATCAAGGGTTTATAGACAGCACGCTAGCATCAAGATAGATATATAAGCATGAAGTCAGTCAGATATAGAGAATGTCACATGTAGTAGAAATAGCATTAGGAAAGTAGGTGTGTTGCACTGTTGGAGGAGCCTGTGACCTAAGATTTTCATCGTCATGTAGCTATGTTCATATGACAAAATAAAAAAACCTTGAAGGTAGCTGGATAAACAGATTACCTTGTTTCTTGAGACAACAACAACAATGCCAAAGATCAGCATGATGATCATTCCCGCCACCATGAAGCCTGCAAACTGTTATCAATGTCAGAACACTCCTGTTAGATATGGTGGTTAATCTAAAGACAAATTAGTGTCATAATAATAACTTAAATTGATATAGCGCCTTTCAGGGGACCGAGAGTCGCTTTCCAGAAAAACAGGAGTAAAAAACAAACAAAAAACAGTCAGACAAACAAAACAACATGAATTCTTCCTCAGTTTCACATCTTGTACGTACTATTTTGAAGAGGAGTTCTTTCTCCATGCATGCGGCAACGATTCCCAAGACAGGGAGGATGAGGACACCGAGGGCAAACACCCAACTCCAGGCCAGACTCGGACCCCCCACCGCCGTTACCTGGAAAACAGGACAACACAAGGTCACAGATGGGCCCATAGTTCATCCTCAGTCTCTCTATTTACTTATAGAGCACATTTAAAACAACTTCAGTGGAACAAAGTGCTGTTCAGGGAACACATCAAATAACACAATAGGAGTCAAAGAATAAAACAAATAACTAGAATCCCAAACAGTAGGTAAAACATGTACCGTATGTTCAGAGCTCCTTCAGACTGGAATCATTCACCACAAAATATCGGACGCTTAACTTATTCTCAAATGTCTTCTTTTGCTGTTAACTGTACGCCTACATGCTATTGATCAATTCACAAGTACAGAACACTTTGTTTTATTCTTTTGTTGTTGTTGTATTGCTAGGAACATGTATTAATGTCCACATTTGTATCCTTAATGTTTGTGTTGAGATCGTAGTAGTCTTGACTGTTGGTTGTTTTGTGACGTGATTTCGTTTTTCTTTGGTTTTCACTGTCTTGCTGTTTGTAGGTTACCATGTTAGGGTATACGTGAAACATGATGGTTCATTTCAAGGGGTTTATCCTAAATTAACACATTTCAAATAATAATATGATGTTTCTGAAGATAAATGATTCATTTATCTTCAGAAACATCCGAGAAAAATACGCTACCTAGCCAAGCTAGCTTAGATCAGAAACAGCTTGTTCTGAAATCGATGTTCAGAGCTGCGTTTCTGGAAAATGCATCGTGCAAAACGTAGGGATTTATAAAATACTCAACAGACTTAATCTCAATTACAAGCAATATAAACAGCATATATGGTTAATATTTTCCCTTTTACATTTGTTGGATCACATTAATGAATTAAAGTGCTGCTTGTGTTTTTGCCCACTGACCGGCTGGTCCCGTGGCTCGTCTTTTTTTCATGGGGTTTATTGACAATGAAATTAACCATCAACACATTTTAACTGAGCTAAAAAAGGCCAGTGCAAACAAAGGTAAACAGCAGTTCCTCTTATGGCCAACGGAGGGCTAGTTCCAATTCCCATAGATAGCTGCAAGAATAAGTCATAAAACCGTAAAATGACGAATTGTATCACTTCCTGTACCCTGGAGTGGAAGTCAATGGTTTTCTGAATGTGTTTTTGGTCCTTAGCCTGAAAGGAGGTCTGTGGTTAACACAAGCTGAGGAGATTTTTATTCTACGTAATAAAATACATTAGGAAATAACCCCCTGGTAAAATTCCATAAACGTTTGTTGGAGATTATTTTCTGCAATAACCCAAAATCCAATGGAAAAATCCCTTGTTTTTTTGTGGAGGGAACCAGGGAGATGCTACCTCCAGGGTCCACAACAGAAATAGGACTTCCCTGTACCACTCTATGGTTTTTTGCTTGGTTTCTCAGCAGGATTACAGAAAAACTAAAGGCACAATTTTCATTAAAAATGGTGGAAGAGTGCAGCCTTGGCCAAGCAAAAACCCATTACATTTTGGATCTGATACACAACAACACATTCTCACTCCCAACTCGGCCTATGTTGACGTTATGTCAGGGTCCCTGTTGCCACTTTCCAACGCAAGGGGAGGCCCTTTAGCGTCGAGTTTCAACTATCAGGGAGTCCCATACTTGCATAGAGCTCCCTGAACGTTGGTAATAGACGAGTTGGGATCGCAGAGAAATGCTCTCCGCAGATCCATTCTCACAGCGTTCATCAACCTTTTTCTAACTCACTATCAAGCCACACTTATTGTTGTTACTTCTTTATTTTAATTGAATAATGTCGGACTTTTGTTGCTGTCAGTTATGGGGAGAGTAGGGGCTCAGAAAACTGAAATCTGTATTGTTTCATCATTTTTTCCTTCTAATTTTGTATTATTTTATAAACCACACACTTTTATTTACTCAACAATAACACATAATTATCCTTGTGTTTATTTATTTGTTTGATTAATAAACACAAGTTAGAGTCCGTCAGGACCGAGGGTCGGAGCAGCTCATAGTAGTTGCTTTAGAGAATTTTACACCCGGAAGTAAGTATTCTCTCCGCTTTGCTTGACAAACCCCGTGATAGTCCTCAAGCTCTGTGATTGGATGTTTGAGTGGCAGTGCGCCGAGGGTTACGCCGAGCGTCAAACAGCACTTTGAAATGGGATAGAACCACGGCAGACTGTCAAAAACTGGATTTGAACAGGTCCACCCCGTCCCTTCAAAACACTTTTCAGAGTTTTACGGGGCGTGGTTTGCAATTCGCCCAGCCAATAGAAATTAGCCGCTTTCACACCGCAGGACTTGCGGTACTTTAGTGCCGGCACTAAAGTGCCACGGCACTGAATCCGCCAGGGGGCTAGTGCCAATCGCATTCACACCGCAGGACTTTCCCTGAGGCAAGATTACGCTGACGTCACTTCGTCTTCTTCTTCTCTGGGTTTACTGGCAGGCTGCAAAACCACTTCACGGCGAGTACAACAAAAAACGAGAGAAGAAGAACTACACGGGGGAGGGGGTATAAAGCCCACCCGCTGTATGAGGCGTTTGTTTACTTTCCGACCTCAGACATGATGGAGTTCATAAGGGTAATTTACAAATAAAATACCCCATTATAACAATGGACTTTATCTTTATGTATTTATTATATATTACCCCCTCAGGCTGATTTTGGAAAAGGACATTAACCCTTGTTTGGTGTTTTTCCCTTATTTATCTAAAACAAATGACATGATAAATTACTTGTGTTTTTGCCATTGCTGCACAAGGTTGCAACATCGTAGATAAATTCAACCACCAACACCTGTCTGCTCTCACATTCTTCTATTCTGCAAATTTGGGGTGGGACACAATAAATAAAGCTTCGCCAGTTTGTTTGTTTTATTGCACAGTCAAGACATAACAATAACGGCATCACGCTGTTCCAGGTGTGTCGTATGCATGTACATTGAAGTTAAATAAAAGTGTGAAATGTAAAATAAAGTGTAAGTAGTTTCAAAACAATGTAACAGTGGCAATATATAGCAGTAGACACACCTTAGTGCAAGTTAGGTGTCAGTATTAAAAAACAGTGGCAATATATATATATAATAACAATAGAAAATCGTTACCACTCTTATTATTGTGGTCTTTAATTTTGTTATAGTCCTGTCTGAGTTTCTTTATTTTTACCCGGCATCCGTGTGCACTGTGCACGATTCCCAGCTCAAGTAGCTTTTGTGAACATCGCTCAAAACATTTGGAGTTGGGAACTGCTTTCTGTAGAAGCTGCTGCATCCCGTCCTCGGAGTAAATTGGGAACTGCTTTCTGTAGAAGCTGCTGCATCCCGTCCTCAGAGTAAATTGCCAGAAGCGCCGACACTTCCTCATCATTCCACCGCTCCGGTGTTGTAGTACGTGTGGTCATAACTGCTTTAAAGTACAAACAACCTACTCGCTCAGGTGTGGATGTGGTTTTGTAGCGAGGAAAAAAATGGCTGCCTAACAAAGAAAATTCAGAGTCTAACGGGGCGTGGTTTGCAATTCGCCCAGCCAATAGAAATTGGCACTCTTTCATCACCAGGTTCGTACCACCTCTCTGGCAGGGACTGAAAATGGCCAAAAGAGTTCCCGGCACTAAGTAGTCCCGGCGGTGTGAACGCGACATTATTGGTACTAACGGAACTAAAGAACCAAAGTACCAGGGAAAGTCCTGCGGTGTGAATGCGCCTATAGGTACTTTTTTTGTACTTTTTTGGTACCACCTCTCTAGCAGGCACTACAAATGGGGGTAAAAGTGTCAGGAGTTGAGTTTTGGATGTTAAGTTTTGGTTTTATTTTGCCGTTCTGTGTTCCCTGTCGCATGTTTTTCTCCTTGTGTCTTGTCTGATCCTTCTTCCTGTGTTTGCCTTCCTGTCGTTAGTGTCCCTGGTGTGTCTGATTGTCTCATTGTGTTCACCTGTTGCCCTTGTGTTTCTCCCTCCTTTACCCAGCTGTTTCTTGTCCAGTGATTACCGCTCTCTGTATTTAGTCTTGTCTTTCCCTGTGTTCCCCTGTCGGTTCATTGTTTGTCTTTCCCTTCACGTCACGCTCCATGTTTGTCCCTGAAGTTTTGATCCTGGATTCTTTACTCGTGCTCCCCTGTTTTGGTAATGTTAAGTTTGTTTCTTGTTTTCTTTTGTCATCTGCTTTTTTTGTAGAATAAAGCTCGCTTTTTGTTATCCCTTAAAACCCGCTTATCCTTTTTAATCCTGCATTTGGGCCTTTCCCGAATCGTAACAAAAAGCTCCCGGCACTAAGTACTCTTTTTAGTGTGAACGCGACATAAGGGATACTAACGGAACTAAACGGGAAAAGTACGGGGAGAAGTACTCCGGTGTGAACGCGACTATTAAAAATATACTGCTGTTTCCAGTTTAGTTTATGATGGATCTATTTTTTTCATATATTGTTTTTATATTTATAACACCAAACCGACAGAAAATATGGTCTTAACATGACCCAGTGGTCTAGTTGATAAAAAGTATATTATCAAGCATAATATTAAAATTAACTCTTATTTTGAAAATACAGCTTCCTGTGTTCGAATGAGCTGCTCCGACTATCGGTCCTGACGGACTCCAAAAGTTCGACAATCAAACAAATAAATAAACACAAGGATAATTGTGTCTTATTGTTGAGTAAATAACAGTGTGTGGTTTATAAAATAATACAAAATTAGAAGGAAAAAACAATGAAACAACACACACACACACACACACAACATAGGCCGAGTTGGGAGTGAGAATGTGTTGTACACAACTATGTTTCATTTTTGCTCATATTTAGAGGTATGGCTTTGGTGTTAGTCAATGTCGGAATAATCAGAAAAAATGTGTCCAATCTGGAAAAATGTCAGGTAAACATTCTTTAAAATTGGAGAAACGTATCAGAGAAACTTATCAATATAATGACATAAAAGTTCATAAAGTTAGAGGCTCATTTAGTTTTGTAAACCTCTGATTGGTCAAAATGTTGAATTGAAAATATACTAATTTGCATTTTTTCTGCATTTCGAAAGCCAAAATGTAGGACTTGTTGTGTATTCACTATCTGTGATGTTGTTGTTTACCTGGTGGCTGAAGGCGGTGACCTGCATTGCTCCGTAGACCAGCACACAGCCGAGTATCTGAGGATAGAATCAAATATGTTAAAAACGGCAAGTATGGAGGCTGAAGAGTGCCAAACAATATAGATTTTTCGAAAATTGAGGATAAAAGACATGTAAACAATTTAGAAATAAATTAAACCAATTGGAAAATAAACTAACATATATTTAAATGGAATAAAAAACACAAATGGCAAATTGTGTTTCTCCTTTCACGTCTTTTGTAATTTTGTTTTAATTTCTACCTATCTAGGAAGGTTTCTAATTTCTCTAATTTGTCATTTTTATAATACAATTAGCTGATGCATTTACTCTGCTGCAAAAAATATATAAGGAGAGGCAGGAGACGGACATTGTGTTGGTTTGCCCCTCACCCCTCAGACCCCCCTCTCTCTTTAGTTCCTTCTTCCTTTCTCCAGCGCTCCGAGCAAAACACAGAGAAACCATCTGAAACTCGCCATTTGTTTTTTGCAGTTACTGGAAATGACTGAACGCTGATGTAGAAATCTAATGTAGTTACACGAGTAATAAATAAAAAAATAATCCTTCACTACTTTCATTTAAGTTTTACACCTTCATTTTCAATTAAATCAAAGTTTTAGTTTTTTTTTTACATTAATATATTTAATTTAAGAGTTTTAAAAACAGGGCCTTCAAGGTATTCAGAGAATACCCTGGAACACTCAGATAAAACAAACACAAAATCGATTTAATTATATAAATAAATGAGAATGGTATCTGTGTTGTTGATCTGTAATATCACGTTGATTTGTTTGTCCTTCTCGGACCATGCAACCAATCAGATCTTGTTCTGGGTCTCTGGGTAGAATATCCTTCAACAAGGTATTCTACATTCTTGATCGAAGGCCCTGGCCGTTGCACTGAATGAGAGTGCACGTTTGGACTGACAGTTTGATCAACCAATAATATATTGATTTGTAGCCAATGGGCGTATTCTTTCAGAGTTCCCCTCGGTTCCAGGGTATTCAAGAAGGCCCGCTAGTTCACTGGCTCGAGACAGAGGATCTAGATCAGGGCTATTCAATTAGTTTGGAATGGGGCCGGTCGATGAAAATGATCCAAAGCAAGGGGCCGGGAAAAAGATGACTTGAAATATGAGCAATCATATTAAGAGTTTCAGATACAGTAAATACTACAACAGCATAGTGGAGTGCATTGTGTTTAATTAAATCAAACAACATAGCCCCAAGGCCTTTAAAGATCTAAATGGCAAGTTCAGAACTCAGTAGGCCGACGTGTGAAGGTCATTTAACCATCAACATCATTTCATTTGATTTCATTTAGGTGAAATTATCTAATCATTCAGGCAGAGATGCAATAAATGACAGGAGTTGTCACTACAGTAGAGAGGGTTCGAAACCCGAGCCCACTGAAGTTTGCAGGCATTGTCTTCCCCTCTATCTCTCTATTTAACACCCTCTCTGGAATAAAGGCACTCTGGCCCAAAAAAATATCAATAACTAAATAAAAGAAAAGTAGATTACTTTTTAACATTATACTCAAAGGGCCAGTAAATATCACCCCGGGGCCGGATTTGGCCCGCGGGCCGCCAATTGAATAGCCCTGCTCTAGATGAATGCGATGAAGCAATTAATATATATATATAATTCTTGTCACTACCCTTTTCAAGACGACAATTGAGTGAAAAGACAGACATTATAACGGCAGGTGGGGCGGCGGTGGTGGCGGGGGGTGTGTTTGTGTCTACAGAAGGTCCAGTTGTGATAGACACGGTTCGCCACCGCTAAATAAAATAACTTCTAAAAAGATATATATTTGTATTTCTTTCGAGCAAATCTCTAACTTTTCTGGTTTTCTTCATCATAATCAAAATAAATTCCAGATTTCTTGGGTTAAAATAGATTTTCTTGTTCCAACAAGATAAAACCCCATCTTTGTTTAATAAGAAGTGAAATAATAACTTCTTGCAGTCTTCATTTTGTAGCATATTTAACTATTTGTATAAATAATTATTTTTAAACACAGAAAATAATTATTAAATATTTAACTTGGGTTTTCGGATTCCAGTCTTTTTTTCCCTTTTTAGCCCAAACACAAAACAACGTTGAGAAAAAGGAGCAATAATAATCATCAAGGTTTGTACTCACTGCAAACACCACATTGAAGAAGATAAAGAGGCATTTGATGCATCCGTTAATTTTCCCCATCTTCAGTTTTGAGAGTTTCTCTGAGATGCAACTGCGTGCTGACACTAAAACACAGAGGGTGTGTGAGAGGGTGTGTGTGAGAGGGTGTGTGTCAGGCGCGCCAGATTCATTTTAGAAGTGGGGGGGCCAAAAAAAGTGCGTGTGTATGGCCCAATCCCAAACCACGCCCTACACCTACACACTCCCCCTCCGTGACGGAGTGAACTCCGTGGAGTGACACATTAAGCTCCCTCCTGTCAGATGGAGGGAGTAAATACAGCAGCAAGCTTTGGGACAAACTCCCCTCTCTCCGGCAGAAACAGGAAATGCCGTAACTGTATGTAGGCCTAACAACAGTTTCAAATCAGCATCTCTTTGAAAAAAAATGTAAATTAATAACTCAAATACAACTCCAAACATCTTTAATTGTGTTACTTTTTTGTAAAGCTATTTTAGTTTTAAACCTGATGTTTATAGTTTCTTTGTTTTTGCAACAGTCTGTAAATATACACAACTTTATAATAAAATGCACACAATTACCTTTTTCTAGACTAAACACAGGTTTGATCCTAAGTTAAAAAAAAGATGTGGTTATCATGAGGTTGTTAACATCGCAATGTATCACTATCGTTTAGTGGTTTTGCAAAGAATTAACCACTCTGTTTTTGTACCTTTCTGCGTTATTTGAAGTATCTTCTCTTTGCTCAAATAATCTAGCGGTCTCATTTTTTCCGATAGTTAGCTGTACAGCTTTACCCCATACTTGCCAACCCTCCCGATTTTCGCGGGAGACTCCCGATTTCACTGGCCTCTCCCGGTTTCCTCCCAGGGTCATATTTCTCCCGATTTCTGACAAAATCAGATTTACTCAGGACTGTTTCCACTCGGACTTTAATACAGCTACACCATTGTTTGGTTTCCATGGTAGCACGTCTCTTTAGCAGCGCGCGCAACTCAAAGTCTGAGAGGGTGGGGAAAATAGTCACAGAAAACAGAACAATAATTGACAACTCTGCTCACTCCTGTCCTTCACATATGCTCCATACAGGATGGTGCTACAGGCCGCAAGGCAGTGCCCTTACAACTACAATAAGCATGTTAATGTTAATCCAGCTCCGGCGATCCACTAGCACCCCTCCCCCCGGTGGTTTTGAAATGCTCCCGATTTCTGAGGTCTCCAGGTTGGCAAGTATGCTTTACCCGCCTCATTGTCCCGACAACAAACCTCCATGCAGTCGGAACCAGCCTGTTTCGGTTCAACAACGGCGGCGGTGGGGGCGGCGGCGGTTTTGACAGTTTCTGCGGCCGCAGAGCTGCTGCTTACGACGCTGAAGTTGGCTTCCGATTCAGAGCATCCGATTCGGCAGTTAAGGGGAAAGTTAAGGGACATTTAATTGACAGCGCTGAGCTAACAATCCTCCGTGTTTGAACCTCTTAAATCGCTGCATAGCCGATTTATTTGGACTGGATTATCCCAGAGACTCTAAAGATTCTTTATAACACGGTTTGAGATTTGTGAAACCTTAATTCTATTTGTGAATTTAAAAAAAAAAGAGGCAGCAGACGACGTCGTTCACCTGGCTTCGCTGATGAAGGTCCAGGCTCCGGAGATGGGATGTGACCTTCCAGTTGTTAAATGTAAGTTTAGATTGACTGTATTTAGTTTTCTTCTGCGCTGGTTCTTCTGACATGTTTGCAAGTGTATATATTCTTTCTATCTCTAGGTTAACGGCTGACACACACAGAACAACGTAACAAATAAAGTAAACAACGTAACAAATAAACAAATCTAAGCTTTTTTATTGGTTGTAATTTACATGGATACATTAGAATGGTGTAACAATGTCCTATTTGATTGGGTTAAAATGTAGGCCAACATATTCTTCCTGTTATGTCTGCCTGCTTTATTTTACCTAATGCAAAGTGACCTGCTCCATCGAAATCAGTCGCATTGACCCGAAGACACATTTTGATTCCTAGCTCTCTAATGATATCAGGATTGTCTTTGTAGGCTACTCCAAATATTAAGCAAAATATGTCACATTATATAATGACTGTTACAGAGTCATCATTTTGAGAAAAAGGCCTTCAAAGTGTCCTCTTCTCTGGATCGATCTGATTGATTATTAGCGGAGCAAATGATTAAAACACTACGGAGGGAAGATATTTTCGTTTGGATTACTGCACTCACGGGAAACACCGGCTGTTGTTATGCCTGCAGTGACGTTAAATTACTCCGTTCTCCGCTTGTAATTATGCCGTTACAAGCTTCAAAGTTGTAGGCCTATTTATCATCTGAATTAGCCGAAAAAAGTTTAATATTCTGAAAGCCAAGACTTTGCTTATTTGAAATCAGATAAAAACAAACTGTAACGGACCCTGCCGTGTTATCTATGATGACCTTACATTCATAATTTCAGCCGGAGGGAGGGGGAGCGGCGCTGAGGAACAGCAGAGTGGCGAGTGAGAGGCCAGCTGTCATCTTCCCTTTACAAGCTTCAAACATGCCTGTAGCTAGTGAGATTGAATATAACAATAAAAAATAACAAAATATACACAGCTAGATCAGATCGCGTTTTAGATGCGACTTTAGAGTAGAGGGGAATTATTGAAACGGGATTTGTACAGTACATCTGCTGCTGCGAAAATGTGGGGCAGGGCTGAAAAGTGGGGGGGGGGCAATGGCCCCCTGGCCCCCCCGCTTCCGGCGCCCTTGGTGTGTGTCTGTGAGATGGTGTGTGTGAGAGGGTGTGTGTCTGTGAGATGGTGTGTGTGAGAGGGTGTGTGTCTGTGAGATGGTATGCAGCAGCAGTCTATATGGCGCTGGTATGCAGGAGCATGTGCTTTGATGCTGAGAACTCAGATCCTTACGACATAGAACAGATCCTTACGACATAGAACAGATCTTTACGACATAGAACAGATCTGCACGACATAGAACAGATCTGCACGACATAGAACAGATCCTTACGACATAGAACAGATCTGTTTATGTGTGAACAGATAAGAATATTTAAGGCCAAACAACAAACTTTTTTGAGACATTATTTACTTTTTAAAATGCTGCAAATACAAAAATCTGCAAGAAGCTCAAAACACAACGGACCAGGGGAAACTAAAGAGTGACGCACACAGCTGGGACTGGGACGTTCAGGGCTAGCTATCTAACGTAGAAATATCAGAAGGAGATTTTGCTTAAAATAAGCCCATAAAACATTTTAGGTGAGTTTCCAACAACAGAGACAGTTGTCCAACTTTATAATCCTGAACGTCACCAAACGCTCCGTCCCAGCTGTGTGCGTCACTCACAGATGCTTCAGAGGCAAGAATTATTCCTGGCATTTGGAGAACGAAGAATGGAACAGGCTAGCAAGTGTGCAGGTGTGCGTCATATGAGAGGCCCCGCCTTAAATTGAGCGTGATTTGTTTGAAGACTCATAACTGATTTGCGAAGATCGAAGATGTACTTGAGTAACTGTATTTTGTAAAATGATCATCTCTCCAGGACAGAACCACTAAACTAACATAAAACGATCTCCTTCTGTTTGCAGCCTTGAAAAAGTCCTGGAGAATAAGCAGCCATAAGAAAATCATAAAATCACCATCACCAATCAATAATAAAATGTGTATTGTGTGTGTGTGCTTTTCAACAAGTCCTCCAACTCATACGACCAAATATGCCGATTGTTCAAGCGCTTAATACGTCCTATAATTACGTTTGAAAGTTGTCAGCCTCTAGTGCTCCCGTTGAATGCTAACGTTACAGATGGTCGTTTATTCACAAATAACCCTCTCTGTAAAATCCTAAATTGTAGGATAGTTCGGCCATTAAAACGCTTTTTGATTAGATTTCTAGCGAGAAGTGTATATTGTACTTTTAGAATCCACGTCCAGTCGATATGTAGGATCTATAGTTTGACAGATATTACAAAGATGATTTGAGGTATGCGGCAACCTCCATGTAAAGTTACGGGTTGAAAACAGTATTTCCGGTCTCGACGTTTTCATAATAAAACCAATGATCAAATGATTCAACAGTATCTGCAGTACTCATCAACTAAAAAACATCAGTTTATCCTTGTTAATTATACAACATTTATTGGTTTAAATTGTGTACAATGCTTTTGTGTTTTTCCCAAAGGTTTTTCTCTTTCGCTTCTGAGAGGCACCTGTCTTTTTTCAGAGGTTTTTATAGGCTAAAACATCGATTGTTTTAGCCGCAATGCATGTCGGGATATGGTGTTAATGCGATATGAAATCGGATAAATTAATTTTTTTTTAAATAAAATACTTTATTCCGAGTGTTCTTGCTTTTCTCTTTGGAGGTCATCACATAACGGCATTGTAATACACGGTTCGGCTGCATTAAATATTACATATCTGCCGTAGATATTTATTTATAGAGCCCTGATCATCAACAGTAATTCGGCTGACTTTTATATTGTATCCAATTGGTAGATAGGTTATATTTTACACCATAACGGTGCACAGCTGATAGAAAGGGACTTTTTTGTAGTTTTTAAAGATATTATTTACTACCTTTCCAACTCCTCATGCAGTTGACTGTTACAGGTCTATACAGGTTCATGGTGAAATGCATAAGCTTCAAATCGAGAGACTGAAACGGTATGTTCCTTTACCGTTCTGTTTTCATTTCACAATAAAGTTAATAGTCATATTATGTTTGATATTATTATGTTTTATTAACTACACCACTGGTTTTTTAACCCGCACCGCCTAGTGGTTAAAGCACGTTATTGAATGTTGTTGTTGAATAAGTTATATTTGATGAAAACATTCAAATATTAAGAGTAGCCTACATACACAATTGGGGGAAAGTAGAAGGAAATATAGAATAGAAAATATCAAGAAGATACTGTAGTGATCTCTACAATAAAACAGTTTAGTGCAGGACGTCCAAAGACATTAACAGGAGGACGTGCAAAACAGACCAACTAATAAGGCTTTATTTAAACATTAAAGAATACTTTAAGTTAAGGTCTTCTTTTGAATAAGAACAAAACGTTGGGGTTATCCACAGATAAATATGAAGTCTGACAAAGTACTTAACGTCCAATATATTGCATAGTTTATTTTGGCACTTGACAATCACCTTCCCTGAATTTGACTCAGGTGAAACTAAAG